GGGTAAAATGCCTAGATGTCTCTACTGGCCGTGTCTACATTTCCCGTGATGTAGTCTTTGATGAAACAAAGTTTCCCTTTGCTGATCTCCACCCCAACGCCGGTGCCTTACTTCGTCAAGAAATTCTGCTCCTGCCCTCTCATCTCACCAACTTTGATCAAAGGGGGAATAATAATTGTGTTGATTCATCATTGACTAATCCTCATAACCATGTGCATGAGCTCTGTGTTGATGCAGCCGAAGGAAGCATGAGCAAAAATGGTGAAGAAATCAGCCAAAATGATCAAGAAATCAGTTCAAATGGGCAATATTTGATGTGTCCAGATTTGGGAGGCAGCAAATCTGCCTCGGGATCGCTGCTGCAGCACCTGCCCAGGCCATCCGCCTCGGGATCTGCATCGCTGCATGGCGCCAGCGCGTCAGAAACCGCGTCGCCCACCAGGAGAAGCGGCGCCGTCTCTCTAGGCGCCACGCGGGCGGCAGCGACTCGTCAACCCGACGCCACCGAGCCGCACCAATCCGAGGCGGCCACGTGTTCCCCTGGGAGGCGTTGGCCAGCAGACGGGCCCCGCTGCTATGCACGTCGCCAGCCGACAGCGGGCGCGCCCACCTGCGCAGATCTGACGGGCTCTGCGGGCGCGGGATCCGGTGCTGATCCTCTGCAATCACTGCCTAATGATGGGGCAGCAGCACACACGGGATTCTCTGTGCCGCCCGTGGCTGGCTCCTCACGCGCTGAAGCCGCAGAAGATCCCGACGCGGGAGCAGCCACTGGAACAGCACCAGGTGCATCCTCCTCGGGATCAGATGCGGGATCTCCTGCGCCACGGGCTGGTGCAGTCTCGCCTGTGCAACCGCGCACTCGTCTCCAAAAAGGGGTAATTCAACATGTTAATTATAAAACAAAGTTTGGCTTGGCTTGTTCCTCCACAGGTGAACCTAGTACGGTTGAAGAGGCACTGAATGACCCACGTTGGAGGAAGGCAATGGAAGAAGAATATTCGGCATTGAAGAAAAATAAAACGTGGCATCTAGTATCTCCACGACGAGGTAAAAATCTCATTGACTGCAAATGGGTGTTTCGCAATAAAAGAAAATCTGACGGATCTATAGATCGTTACAAAGCAAGACTTGTTACCAAGGGCTTCAAACAACGGTACGGCATAGACTATGAGGACACATTTAGTCCCGTTGTTAAAGCTGCCACCATTCGTCTTGTGTTGTCTGTTGCTGTTTCCAGGGGATGGAGTCTCAGACAATTAGATGTGCAGAATGCGTTCCTTCATGGCATTCTGGAAGAGGAAGTATATATGAAGCAACCTCCTGGGTTTGTGAACAAAAACTCACCACTGCATGTGTGCAAACTTGATAAAGCTTTATATGGCTTGAAGCAAGCTCCCAGGGCGTGGTACTCACGTCTAAATCAGAAACTGCAAGCGCTTGGATTTATCCCTTCAAAGTCTGACACATCACTATTTATTTACAATAGGTCAAATACCTCCATATTTGTTCTTATTTATGTTGATGATATAATTGTCACAAGTTCCTCTGATGAAGCAATAACAGGCCTCTTGAAGGATCTAAGTGTTGAGTTTGCTCTGAAGGATCTAGGAGACTTACATTTCTTCCTAGGGATTGAGGTAAAGAAACATGAAGATGGCCTTCATCTCTCTCAGGAAAAATATGCTACTGATCTGGTAAGAAGAGTTGGTCTTCAAGGATGCAAACCTTCACCAACACCCTTGTCTAGTTCAGAGAAACTCTCACTTACAGAAGGAGAACCCTTGAATCAAGAGGACAGTACAAACTACAGAAGTCTGGTAGGAGCACTTCAGTACTTGACTCTGACAAGACCTGATATTTCATTTGTTGTTAACAAAGTATGCCAATTTCTTCATGCACCCACTACAGTTCATTGGACTGCTGCTAAACGTATAGTAAGATATGTGAAAAATACTATGAATCTTGGTCTTACTTTCAGAAAATCTTCATCTACCCTAGTCAGTGCTTTCTCAGATTCTGATTGGGCAGGATGCATAGATGACAGACGCTCTACTGGTGGGTTTGCAGTATTTTTTGGACCAAACCTAATATCATGGTGTGCAAAGAAACAGGCTACTGTATCAAGGTCAAGCACAGAAGCTGAGTACAAGGCACTTGCAAATGCCACAGCAGAAATTATTTGGGTACAGTCTATGTTAAAGGAACTTGGTATAAAGAGTACCAAAGCTCCGTGTTTATGGTGTGATAATCTTGGTGCCACCTACCTATCTGCAAATCCAGTGTTTCATGCAAGAACGAAACATATTGAAATTGATTTCTACTTTGTCAGAGAAAGAGTTGCAAATCAGCAGTTAGACATTCGGTTTGTGCATTCTAGAGATCAAGTTGCAGATGGTTTCACAAAACCGTTGCCTACAAGAAGTTTTGAAGAATTCAAGCGTAATCTTAACTTGACAAAGTTGTGATTAAGGGAGGATGTTAAGCAACGCATTGTGTGCCCGATCGTGACAGGTTGGTAACGTAGACTCCAAGGGGATCCGGCTAGGTTAGTCCAGGTTGTTAGCATGTTTATCTTTGTAACAACTCTATCTCTATCCTCTTATCCCTTGTATCCCAAGTTATAATCTCAACCATGTATGCGATCTGGGAGTTGCGCCCCAGCATATAAACACGCAGCCGTCGGTCAGACGAAGACACGACGTTAACCTAAAGAGTTTTACAGCATGAGCAGCAGCAAGCACAAGCCTGGCATCTTGATCTTGGAGACCTCCATGTCATCAGGAATTAACACCCAAGGGAGAAATGAAGCTAGCGGAGAGGATACGGTGAAGATCCAAATAGGTTAGTGTCTCCTTGTCTTATAGTCATGGATGGCCAGACCATATAAAAAAACTATGTCGAAAATAGCGAGTATGATGCAATTATATCTTGAAGATGCATTTCTATCTGGATAATGAAATGATGTCTTGCAACTTCAAAGTTCAAAGCAATCTTGAGACTTTTATGGATGAAAACAAACATAGGGATGACGCGGCTCGGTGTTGTATACATTGGCGGATGCTGAAATTTTTGGTCTAGATAGAGCTGACCTATTTTTTTTAAAGGAGGATAACCCCCGACCTCTATATCGAGTGATGCATACAACCATTTTTTATTAATTATTCAACAAAGCCTTACAAAATAATACATCAATTAGTCTGAAGCCATCTTCCTGGTAACATTTGTCGCTACTCCTACCAACTTGACGAAGGATGTGCACATGATCGGAGCCGCCTGCCAAGACCTCACACCAACACCGATCATCTAAATGTCTAGTGGACTATCAGCGGGCACCGCATGGGCATGCTCCAGAGGCTGCCGCCACCATCTTCCGCCGATCCATCTTCATAATTGGTATCAATGCATTGACCTTGCCAGGCCTACCGTCGACGTTGCCACGACACCAGACAACGCCACCTCCCTATGCGGGTCCATCATCACACATCCATCGCCAAGACCCTGCCGCGCCATGCCTCCGAGACTCCACATCGTCGATGCATCACATGCAACGCTGCTCCACCGCTGAAACCATCCACTGGTCCCTCAAGCAGATGAACACCTCCAAGAATGATGCCCCAAGGGGGGAACGACACATCAGCGCCACTATCATCCGATCGACTGATCAAGGGTTTCCCCTGAAGGTAGGGAAAGGAGGTGAGAGCTTCACCTCGATGATGCCTTCAAGAAGGAGACGGCGCCCGGGGCATCGCCATCACCGGCTCCGGCCACCGGCCGAAGACAATATCTTCACCCGGATCTGCCCCATGAGATTCCAACCAAACAACCTGCGCACCTGCTAGACCACCTTCAAAGCCCCAGATCTGGCCACCCAGATCCGGCGACCACCACAGCAGCCGCAGGAGCCCTGATGCTCCGGCCACTGCCAGCGTGCGCCACCACTAGAGACTGAGGAAGGGCCGCCACCCCACCCCGCCAAATCGCGAGAGCCGGCTAACAACAGTAGATGTGATTACATAGTCATGTCACAATCTTGCCTGGATATCATCTTTAGTGAGAAAAATCTCTCGCTTCTCTGGAGGCCAAAGAGGAAGCTGGCAGAGCTAGCACCAACTGTCTTCATGTTTTGCTTTCTTCTTTTCTCTAATTTTCCAGCTTTCCATTGAACAAAAAACTAGAACACGTTATTAATTGATTTACACAACGTTTATAATATACATGAAGCAAGTCTGTTCATACCAGAGGAGATGAAATCTCAGTAGTTTTGAGCAAACTCTATTGTCCAATTGTTCATGCTTACAAAGAATTGAACCAAGAGAATAACACCATGATCTTATAGGCTTGGTTGAGATGCTGACGGAGCTCTTATTCTATTTACCGGCACGCTTTAAATCCTATTGAAGGAGCTCTTATTCTATTGATCAGCACGCTTAAAATCCTGATAAATGTAATTAGAATCAAGGGATAGCTGCTTGCTTGGTGGTTAGATTGCTTTCAGATTATAGCTTCACGTCTAGTAAAGACTCGAAGGGGAAACAACGACATCTAGCTGGCTTGGTTCTTTTATACTATCAAGCACATTCAGCACCAACTACAAATTCATTGCACAAACTCACCATGCAGACACAATTAACCATGATTTGCAGTTACCATGTACGGTGTACGTTGAGCATTTCAGCTTCTCGATCATACAGATACAAAATACATCTAGCACACGTTATCCGAATAACTTAACAATGTCAAACACTAGAGATAGATTCACATGCAGACACTCCAGAAGATATAATCGCGTCACAACACGCTATATCTATCTCTTCATTTCTAGCTGCTCATCAGGATAGAACACAAAAGGCCGGTGAACTCTATCGCAATTCCACCTTTATTATGTTGCCATGCGTGAATTCTATGTTGATCTGCTCATCACAGCAAATACAGCATAGAAGTCCACACATATAGTTCATTAAACACACGAACGATATATTACTGCTCCACAAGCATCATCAGCAAGGTTTCTTGCAGAGGCAGATTGAAAAGGGAGGGTCGAAGGAGGTGATCACACACTTCGATCCTGGGAAGCCCTCCTTGTGGCAGTGAGTAGCACATGTGTCATCCCCACATAAGAGAGGAGTGTAGGTCCTGCTGACCTCCGAGCAAGTCTTGCCTTCAGATCCTGCAGTAAAAATAAGGACATCATTTTGCGCAACGGCATCAAAGAAAGGAATAGGACACCGAGAAGATGTTATATTCCTCGGATTGTTATTCCGGTCAAGGCTTACCAGGAAACAACAGGAGTGCCATGAGCAAGAGCAAGCACAAGGCTGGCATCTTGGCCTTGAGGACCGCCATGTCTCGAGGTATAAGCACCCAGAGAGGAAATGAAGCTAGATGAGAGGAGACGGTGCAGATCCAAATGTGTTTACGGCTTCTCTTCTTGTAGTCGTGGATGAGCAGACCATATGAAAAGAAAACAAAAAGTATGTCTAGAAGACGCAGTTCTATCTGGATGATGCAAAGATGTGTTGCACCTTCAAAGCACTCTTGAGACTTTATGGAATGAAAACAAACATAGGGATGATGCAACTACGTGTTGTAAATTGGCAGATACTGAAATTTTTGGTCTAGATAGAGTTGACCCATTTGGTTTGTTTATTATTAAATAATAATTATCTAAAGCGGCTAGAGCTTGAATAGTATTTGTGTTTTTAGTTGTTACTGTGTATTCTGTTGTCCAGCTCATCAATACAGACAAAGATTAGGGGTGAAGTGCTAATGCCACTAATTTAAGGGGGGAAACAATAGGGCATGGGCTTATACTATGTATATGATTATAAATGTACTGAAATAGAACTATTTAGTTAGATGTTCTTATTTTGAGGGAGGGAGTTATGTGTTTAGGCTGCAATGTTTGTCCATTGGAGATTGTTCTTTAAATGTTCAAGTGACATCAGACATGGGTTAACATGCAAAAAATGCAGAGGATATAATCAAATCAGAGAAGTTATGCCTAGAATGAACGAACGAACGTTCACCACAAAATGCCACAGCGTGGCTTTGCAGCATGCTTGAGGTCATGATGATACCACGGCAAACGTGGCAGTTGTTATTGCCCTAAAAAGGCCTACAGAGCTATGAAAACAATGCAAAGAGGAACAGACTTAAGACTCTCGGTCTGATGTGGATGTCATCTTCAGTGAGAAAGATCTCTCGCTTCTCTGGAAGCCGCAGAGGAAGCTGGCAGAGCTAGCACCAATTGTCTTCATGTTTTGCTTTCTTCTTTTTGTCAAACACTGTGCTAGAACACATTATCCTGATAATTTAACAACGTCAAACGCTGGAGACAGATTCACATGCAAACACTCGAGAAGATATAACCGCATCACATCACGGCTATATCTCTATCTCTGCATCTGTAGCTGCTCATCAGGATGAACCCAAAAGGGCCGAGAACTCCATCGCAACATTACCTTTATTACATCTTCTTAGGTGAACTCTATGTCGATCTTCTCATCATAGCAAATACGACATAGAAGTTCACAAATATAGTTCCTTAAAAACACTGCTTCAGAAGCATCATCAGCAGGGTTTCATGCAGAAGCAGACTAACATGGGAGGTTCTAAGGAGGTGATCACACACTTCCCTGCTGTGTAGCCCTCGCCGTGGCAGTGCTTGACGCATGTGTCACGCACACATAAGAAAGTAATGTAGGTCCGGCTGATCGTCGTGCAGGTATTACCTTCAGACCCTTCAGTAAAAATAAGAACATCATTTTGCACAGCAGCATCAGAAAAAGAATAGACTACTGAGAAAGTGTTGTATATTCTTCGGATAATTATTCCAGGCAAGGCTTACCAGGAAGCAACAGGAGTGCCATGAGCAAGAGCAAGCACAAGTCTGGCATCTTGACCTTGAGAGCCTCCATGTATGAAGCTGGCGGAGAGGAGAGACGGTGCAGATCCAAATAGGTTAGGGGCTTCTCTTCTTATAGCCATGGATGAGCAGACCGTATTAAAAGAAAAGAAAAACTATGTAGAAGAAAGTGAGTATGATGCAATTATATCTAGAAGATGCAAAGATGTGCTGCACCTTCAAAGCACTATTGAGACTTGATGTTAGATATGCATCATTCAATATGTGGATAGTACATTACATGGATAGAAATGCAGACATCTTAAAGCTTTTAACCAATTGAAGTTGTTGCACAATGCACATCAGATAAATGAAGTCCTGGTTTTGCATCAACTTTTGCACAATGCAATATGTTTCCATGCTAACAACAGCGTCGTGAAGTCACATCTACCACTAAACTGCCGGTGATAAGGCGAAGTTTATAAAAGAATATGGAAATGAAGAAACAGAATGTTATCGAAGATATAGTAACATTGTGTCAGATCCTATAGAGGGAAAGAGTAGATGACAGAAATATCTGAAAGGGAAAATAAACTGAACTGAATGGCTATCTTATATCTTGGCACACATGTTCCTTTCCTAGGGTTAAATGATCAATAAAGTTAGATTTGCCAGGACCTTTTGGGGCCAGCTTAAAGAGACATGTATATACCAGAAGCTCACATGAGTTGTATGATATGATCATCAGGAAGTAGTACGAAAGTACAAGCTTGACACCTTGAGGAATATATGAGCATCACTGATCTCATCTTGTAGTCATGGATGATCTGAAACGAAATGAAACTCTGTTCTGAACACTTGATTTATTTATTATTCAATAATTATTACTCCTGCGTATTCAACGAGAGTGTGTATAGTTTGCGTTTTTATTTTTCCTGTGTATTCAGTTGTCCAGCTCATCGCTACATTTTCTCCTGATTCTCCATTTACTGTTCAAAGCCTCAGACAAAGATTAGGGGGTGAAGTGCCAATGCCAATACTGGGGTAAAATAGGCTTTTCCTTTCCTGGATAAAGTAAAAAAAAAAGAGTAGGCCATGGTCTTACTAACTGTATGATTACAACCGAATTGAAACAAGTTTCATTTAGCTAGATGTTCTATTTTTTTAGAGGGAAAACTATGGGTTTATGGACTGTAAATAAACATTTGTCCATTAATATATATGATTACAACTAAATGTAAATTATTTAGTTAGATGTTCTTATTTTGAGAGGGAAACCAATGGGTTTAAACTGTAAATAAACCCTTGTCCATTAGAGATTGTCATTTAAAAATGTTCAGGTAACACTAGACATAGATTAGCATGCAAACAATGCAGAGGATATAATCGAATAAGAGCAGCTAACTCTGTATCTCTGCATTTTGTAGCCTGTACCATTGATTCCAGTAGAGAAGACAATGGCATCATTCTCTCCTTATTTAGATCAAGAACAAATTACATCATTGATGTGCTTCCTGCTCATCAGGATGAACCCAAAAGGGCGGCGATCCCTGTCGCTATTTTACCTTTGTATCACCTTAGGTGAATTCTAAGCTGAAGTTCACATGGTTCCTTGAACACACACACACACAGACAGAAAGTTTCTACAATCCTATCTAAAACTATTACTGCTCCACATCAAACAAAACACACCTATTTCCACAGTAACAACAACATTGCATCTAAAAGTAATACTGTTGGCTAACAAGTTACAAGATACTTCTGATTTAGCCCGGTCTCAAGCACCCACCAGGAAGTAAGAACCTGTAGCTGTCCGCATTCCTGATCAAATAGGATGGAAGATGAACAGCGGACGCTGACCTCGGTATCGGCCCCATCTTCTTGAAGAGATCACTAAACGTGTACTCCTCAGGTAGCATGTCAAAAATGTTATCCCCATTGCATATGACTCTCTGGATCCTGTCCGGGTTCAGGAAGATGTCATGTTTCACCCGGTCTGCATGGCTGTATGCCTTCATCTTGAAAGCAAACTCCTTGATCTCCCTGAAGCAGAAGCTGCAGTGCCAGCCCGCGTCGGCCAGCATCAGGTCGGTCTGGCGGGAGTGCTGATACTTGGTCCGCTCGGTGAACACATGCGCTGTCGTTCTCCAGCTGTTTTGATCCACATGAAATTCAAAGGAGTACATGTAGTTTTTTAGCTCGAGATGCATGATTGGTGGTATTCCATCACACCACTTCAGCAACTGCACGGTTTCAGGGCTGGGGATCTCATCGGCATCAGCCATGATCAAGACATCCCCCACAGCAATGCCTGATCTTTTTAGCAGGTTGTTTAGTGCACGGCGGTGACCGGCTTCTACAAGGAAGGGCATTCGGCGAGAATCAGGATCCAACTCTCCAATGGGAAGCATGTCATAGACAATCTTTGAGCTAGCAAATGCGAAACGGTTGAGGTTTTCAAAGAAGGTGAGTGACTTTGGGATGCCAGTGAAGGTAGCATTCGCCTCAAGGATGACAAACCTGTCAACATATGGAAAGAGCTCATGGTAGCGGATTTCCAGAACATCGAGCTCATTGCTGAAGAGAACAGCATCAAAGACACGGCGAGGAGAGGAGAGGATGCCCCATCCATGGAGCTGACACAGCTGGTGCATGGACATATTAGGGGCATAGTAGTGCGGGATACGGGTGAAGGGCTTTGGTGGTGTGTCCCACAGCGGCCGCAGAAAGTAGGAGATACTTTGGAAGTACTGGGTGACAGCAATAACAGAAACTGAAAGAACTAGAACGAAGGGTATCAGGAACTTGAAAGCCAGAGTACTTCTTCTTCTAGTTACATGAGGCAGATTCACCGAGTTTCCCGCCATGCGACTGTCTTGTTTCATTGACAAGGAAAGAAATGAGCGAGTCTTGGAGAAGCATATGAGAGTGCCCCAAGTACCCTCTCTTCCTGGGGAACACGGCAATATCAGAAGCTGAATGCAACCTGCATTATGCAAGAGGGAACAGAAAATAAGTAAACAAGGAGAAGTGGTACAGGAAGCGACATAACCTCGGCAAAATAAACATACAGGTAAGATTCTCAGTCTACAAAGTAGAATGGGGATGAGTTACAGCTACACACGGCCTTCTGTAAATTTGTGGCGCAACTGACTTGTTCTTTAAATGTACACATTCATATACATATAGGGCAAGACATGGAGCCGTGAAATTGATAGTACACGCCAAGATAAACGAGCTGCTATTGCATTCGCTGATTTGCATCAACCAAATAAGGAAGAAAATGAAAGTGCAGCATAATACCAGAGCAGAGCCAGCATCATCTAGTGCCACAGCATTCTTGCCAGAAAACCCCAAGAAGCATGATCTAACTGCTAGTGTACTGTCAACAGCATAGGCACCCCTATGTATCAACAATATAAAAAGTAGTCAAGATTCCGACAGCTATGGCCACTCTCTCACAAGCAAATGATCCCTATGCCCGGTTGCGTGACCATGA